TTCTTAGTTGCATTGCTTACACACTGGGCACATTTGTTTTCTCCACTGTAGGTGGTATTTCATAAGGTTAGTAGCAACAAATGCTGTCGTAAATAAAACTAAAAACCCACTGATTTTTCACTTTCGGAGAGACTGCTGGCCTCTTTCCAGCTCTGATGCTCTACATCTATGTTAATTTGTTAGCTGTTCTTACACATAGGATGGTCCTTGTTCTCAGGGAGCTACCTAACTAATTTCTGTTTTTCAATACACTGCTTATCTCTCTTGGCTAGCAGAGATCAAGTGAGTTCAGCTTCTGAAAACTGAATTGTTTTGTAACCAAAAAGAGTAGGTTATTCAGAGCAGTAGTTTGCAGAGCAAGAGTCCAGTTTGCTATTGATAAGAATTAACTTTGAGTTTTACCAAACTCTATTTGCCAGCTTTTGTCTCTCTCTGACCAAACTAGGTAGATATTCAGATAAAAGTCCTTCCTGCACCTTGAGTTCAGTTATAGTTATTAGTCCTTTAGATCCAGCTCTAGTATTGGGAGTCTACTTCATTGTTTTGGTATCTCATTTTTACAAGGCACCTCATCTTAACTTAAAACTTGGCCTCTTGTCCAAGTGTTTAAATGCATTTTGAAATAAAATCTTTAATACCACATTCCCTTCTTTTGCAGCATGAACAGCAGTATCTCTGCCCCATGCATGTTGTAAAGAACCCTAAGTAGCCCAGTTACTGCCTCACAGAATCCCGGAATGGTTGGGGTTGGAAGGGCCTCTCTGGGCAGCCTGTTCCAGGGCTCTGTCACCCTCACAGGAAAGAAGCTCTTCCTCATAAGGAGATGGAACTGCCTGTGCTTTAATTTGTACCCATTGCCCCTTGTCCTGTCACTGTCCACCATCGAGAAGAGTTTGGCCCCACAGAATGCACATCTCTTCCCTGCAACTAGCTAATGTGCTGCTTCAGTTACTCCCTGTCCCGTGGTGGCCAGACTCGTTCTGCACCTCCCTGATACTCCTTGTAGCAGGTGTCTCCCCTCTCTTCCTTTTGCCCTGCCTGGTAGCGCAAAGACAGAAAATGGGAGCGAAGGGCATGTTGAGCCAGAGCCCCTCTTCTGCACCAGGAGGTGCAGGTTGCATTTATTGCTCTAAGTAAACAGTTCATCCCATAGTTCAGATGCTGATCAGGAGTGGGGAGCAGCGAGGATCCCAGCAGTGGTGGGGTCAGTACACAAGAATATCAGTATTGCTCGGTGACCCCTTTGCTAAAGATAGAACTTGCTGCATAACCACACTTTTCACTGCCTGACCTAGGAGCAAGGACTGGCTCCCGTGTTCTCTTTTTACTAGAATGCCTCTTTTTCCAGGGGATGAGTGTTAAGTAAGGCTAGGAAGAAGAATTAAAAGGAGGCTGGTGATACCAGGGAAATTATTTAATATAGAGGAGGATGTGAATGTAAGATACGAAGAAGTAATAACAGAGTACGGACTGAATATTCTAGAACAAGATTCATAACAGCATAAAATGTAAAAGAGCATTCTATTTAAAGAGTGCTTTCAGTTCTGTATTAACATACATATTTAATGCCTGGATCTTCAGTATATATTGCATGAGGCTTAGAAAATCCCTGAAGAGCATGTGTGCATCGACTGTGCAGTTACTGGAATGTGGTGTGCCTTGTTTTGATTAATCCCACTCAGTATGAAGCACACAACTAGAAAAGATTATCAAAGAATTCATTACCAGATCGTGATCTGTTAAAGCAAATTTATTATAAAGCTTTTCCATCTTTTAGATACTTGGGAAAACTGATTGAAGCATTATCTGTCTGTATTTTGATTAAATCTGCTCGCCTTTAGAACTGGTATGATCTTAATATTTGTTTTTTAAACAGCTGATGATATAAAGCCATGCCCGCGCTGTGCTGCTTATATAATAAAAATGAATGATGGAAGCTGCAATCATATGACTTGTGCAGTCTGTGGCTGCGAATTCTGTTGGCTGTGTATGAAAGAGATCTCAGATTTACATTATTTAAGGTATGTTAAGAAATTAAGTTCCATGTGATAACTTTTCTCTGAAGTGTGTAGAGGGCACTGTAAATTTGTTTTACTTTCTACTGGAGTAGAGAATCAAAGTTGAAGCATCTGAGAATTTATTTTTCCATGCACATATTTAAATTAGTAAGACTTGAAATAAGTTTTTCAAGTGTGTTGTGTGTGAAGTATGTACTTAATACAATGAAATATTTTACATTAGATGATGTCTTAATACTTATGCTTTATATTCATATTAAGCAACACGGCAACTCTGATACCAAGTTACCTGTGAACCATGGACTGGTGTGCGGTAGCAAACAATAGGTTCCTTCAGTATATTGCAAAATATGCTTGAAAGCTTTAAAAAAAAAAAAAAAAAAAAAAAGTTAATTGGTGATTTGGTGTTTGTAACATATATACCTCGAACCTTTCCAGGAACTGTAGTTCTGTACCTTGTGAGCAGTTCAGTTCTCTACAGTTGTGTAGATTTATTTACTTGCAATTTCTTTACAATTTTCTTATATTTTCTTACTATTAGCCCATCAGGTTGCACATTCTGGGGAAAGAAACCTTGGAGCCGTAAGAAGAAAATACTGTGGCAACTAGGGACACTTGTTGGAGCTCCTGTAGGAATTGCATTAATAGCTGGCATTGCTATCCCTGCTATGATTATTGGAATTCCTGTGTACGTGGGACGTAAGGTAAAACGTGCTGCAACTTCTACTGTGCTTCAGGTTTTATCAGTGTGCAATCTAATACTTTGTGTGTTTTCCAAAAAATAAAGGGATTGTTTAGAAAACTCCTGGATGAGTTTGTACAGGAGAGGCCATGTTTCAGAATGTAGTTTCTCTTTTTGTACAGGTGAAACAAAACTTTGAAAAACAAATTTGTTTTACCATATATAAAAATACATGTGTGTTGAAAACTGCTCTGTTTTTAATCTCAGAGTTTTCCTGTTTTCTTTAGAATTAAATGTTCAGGGGAAGGGAAAGGCACCAGGAAAATCCTTTTTATTTTTCTTAGAAGCAGAAAGGTACCAGTAGTTGAGTATAAAATTTTGTTCCCCTGTCAAGAGGCATAGGTGTGAGTGCACCCGTTTCAGGGTTTGTACTTGGAAGCTTTCAGGTTGCCTGCGGCCAGCCTGCCCTGTGGAGCTCTCCTCAGCACACGTAGCCAACAGCATCTATTTTCATGTTATTGTTTATGGGAATTGGCTAGAAATGACCATGGTAGCAAAAGAGCAGCTAATGTATTTCCCCTCTCGCTCTTTTTTTTTTTAAAAAAAAGGTTGCTAATATAGAGATATGTATATATACTTGGTTCCTTCTATATACTTGGTTGCTAATATAGAGTAAATGACAAATTGTAAGTTAGAATTACTTTTTTCCCCCTCCTTTCTTACCCCTTCTTTCAACTTCTCTTTGTAATTCAGGATAGAGTAGTAAATTATTTGCATCTTTTGGAAATGGAAATGGGCTTTTTGAACCTATGACTTGGTTAAACAGGTGCTAAATTGAGTTGCACATCCTGGAAAATTTACTCAGGGGATGTTTACTCCTGCTTTTAGAACATGATTTTTCAGTGACTGGTACAGGTTTCTACCTATAATTCTGCATATTTGTGTCCTGGGTGATTTTTTTGTCTGTCTCACACAAGTTGTTGCTACTAGTCAGGATCTTGCAGTCTGTCTTTTCAGCCTTTTCTTTCAAACCAAGTGCTCTTACCTTTTGCTGTGGTGCTTTATGTGAGCCTCTTGTGTATTCTCTTATTTCTATACAGCTATTGAATCCCTGTAGATAACAGGAGGCAGGCAGCTGTTACCATATCCAGTTACAAGGGCTGCTCTGCTTTTCTGCTTAGCTCTTGGACAGCTCCCAGTCCTTCCACATGTTAATGCTAAAAGTCTCGCAGTGGATCTGGGAGGTGACCTCAGGAGAACTTCATTCCACCCCACTGCTTCATGGTCAGTTTTCTGGTAGCCCTGTCAGATGCTTGAGCTTTTCGTCAGAACCTCTGGTTCACAGACCCTCCAAGCCTAATCCATCTGATTTTACTGACATTCAACATAAATTCTCTTCTTACACTATTTTTCCCTCTCTCTTTGTTTTAATTGATATCAAGAATACTATTGCTTTGCAATCTCTTATTACGTATTATGATTCTATGATTCTATGATTACTTTGCAATCTCTTATTACGTAGTTGATGATCGTTTCTCAGCCCACTTTTTCATTTCTAAAGAAATCCAGTACTATCTTTTTCTTTTTCTTTTTTTTTTCTCTTGGCAGACTGAGCTCTCATCATGTCCATTCTCTTCTGGATTTCTTTCCACATCTTCTTACCCCTTTTCTTTGTGCAGTTTGAATGCAGCAGTGAGGCTGAAGCACTACTGCTTATCATTGAGCTAGCTGAAAAAAAAATCCCATTTTGTTCTTCAAGCAGTAATCCTCCTCTTGTGACTAACAGTTGTCTCCCTTTCAGCTGCATGCTATTTGGATTATGTGCGTTGTAAATCCTATACAGTTTCCCACTGTACTTTTATGTACAAGGCAATTGGTCCCTTCCCAAGTGAAATCTTGCACTTGCTCATAGTCATTTCAAGATTTGACAAGACTAATGTGAATTTAGGCTTTCTTGCAGCTTTAAGGTTGCTGTTATCCAAAAAAAAACCTTAACACACCCCTGTTTTCCTCCTATCCAACAGATAAATGAAAATGTTGGATACTTGTAGATTCATAGCAGAGCTCTTGGGGGAAAAAGTATAGGGGGAAGAGTGTTAACTTGGGTGTATGTATGGGTTGGGTGTATATATGACAGCTATGTTATTTTCTGTCAGTTTTGTATTAAGCTAATGATAATTTTCTGAGCCATTTTTCAGTCCGGATCACTCTAGCTTGTTTGACACTCAAAGAAGAAAATGTTAATTTTACTGAAGTCGGGGTATGACATTTGCTGCTTCCTCCCACCCTCAAGGCCACTTATCCTGTCATAGAAGCAAACAAAATTGACGTGATTTCTACATGAAAAATCTATATGCCTCATTCTTTTGTACTCTTGTTACGGTGCCTACAAGTGCCTGGTTTTCAGGAAACTGAACTTGAGTTCATTGGTCTTTAATTCCCCAGATCCTTGTTTTGCACTTCTATAAAAATCATCATTGCAGTTTGTCCACTTTACACATTTTTCTTTTTTCCTCTCAGTTTACAAAAAAAAAATGACCTTTTTCAACAGTTAATGCTAGTAGCTCTGAAACTGGGCCTCCTAGTTTCAGGTCAGCTCATCTGAGTACTGTCTCGCCTACGTTTTCCTACGTTTTTCCTACTATTTTACCACCGATATTAGTGCCAGCAATCACGTAGCTCACACTTGATCTTTAGTCAAGACTGAGGGGAGAAAAAAAAATAGGGCTTTGGTTTCATCTTTGTCTTTGTGAAGCTGCAAATCTTGATCTTCCTCTTACAAGTGGTGTAGTTGTAAAATAATTCCGTGGTAACTTTGATGTCTCTTGCTTTGCCCCCTTAACATTAACCTTTCTGGTTTTGTCCTGACACCCTCATGCTGTTCCTTTATGCCCCTTCCTGGTCATCTGACCTACTTCAGTTTTCTTGATGTTGCTGCTTCTTCAGCAAAAGAAGCAGAGTTGTCCTTTTACAACCCTCTCTGCTGCACAGGAAGGATCTGTGCTTGTGCCTTTGATAGTCTCCTTGAGGAACTGCTGGTTATCCTTACTTTTTCCTTAATTTATATATATGTGGGTGTGTATAGATAGATAAATGTTTGTTTTCTGTTCTTTTCTTCCTCTGGGTTTTGACTTTTGTTGCTTCATGGTCATTCTTTGCTATGATAGATAAATGTTTGTTTTCTGTTCTTCCTCTGGGTTTTGACTTTTGTTACTTCATGGTCATTCTTTGCTTCGTGACCTTGTCATTTCACGTTCTGGGTTAGTTTCTCCTTTAGAGCCAATTCCTTACACGGGGGTTTTCCATAGAGGTGGTGGAGGCTCCGGCCGTAGAGATGGTCACAGCCTGACAGGACACAGTCCTGGACAACCTGCTGTTTGAGCAGCGAGTGGACCAGGTGGTTTCCAGAGGTGCCTTCCAACCCCACCTATTCTGGGCTTCTGTGTGGCGGTTTTGCTTGCTTTTATGCTTAAAATAAATATGATAGCCTTTAAGATTGTTGACTGCATTTAGCCTTGTTTGGGAATTACCTGTCCATAGCCAAATCCAGTGCTCGCAGCTATCATACTAGCTGCCCTGTAAAATCCCATCCACCTGGATTGTCATTTTAAACATACTCATGTTCTTTTTTTCCCATTTGATCGGTATCCAGGAGTTTTCTGAGCTCAGGCTCCGCATTCTTGTGCTCTTGTGCCCTGGGTCTTGGCATAGTCTATCTCGGAGCAAGCAGATGTGTTCCTGTCACCTAAAGCACTGTTTTCTCCCTCTTCTCTCCCCTTTGTTCTGTCTAAACAAGTGAAAATCTGTGTTTTAAAGAAAGAAAATCACCCTACCAAATTGTTAACTGATATTATAATTTAGAAAGCTCAATAAATCTCTTCATTGTTTGGGGGTGAGGGGAGGAAAGATTGGGAAAAAGTATCAGTTTGTATATGATTAGACATGGCAATTCTGTGGTAGTGAAAATTGTCAGCTTTTCCCATCTGTATAAGCTGGAGCGATGATTTAAAAAAACAACAACAACAAAAATACATAGTACAGTTTGAGAATGAAAGTAAATGCTTAATTTCTGAATAGGAGGACTCCTAGCTTTTAAAACTATTGCCTAAAATTAAGAAAATGAAACATTTCTTTGTTCTTTCAGACAAGTTGTGATACAGAATGTAGCCCCTCTAGAAGAGAGTAGGATACAGATTCTAAACTATTATATATAATTTCTTCCATCCCCACAGTAGCATGAGTAATGAAAATACAACCTAAAATAATTCTTTTTTTTTCTCTCTCAAGATTCACAATCGATACGAAGGCAAAGACATTTCAAAGCACAAGCGAAACTTGGCAATAGCTGGAGGTGTAACCTTGTCTGTCATTGTTTCTCCAGTTGTAGCTGCAGTAACTGTAGGTAAGCAGATATTTTGCATGTTGGTTGCACCTTGAAACAAGGGTTTTATAAGCACCCATAAATAAAGCATTTATTTGAGCCAGGTAGCAGAGCTTCCTCTAACAGGTGAGTAAACGAAGGCATAGAAAAGGCACAGAGTGTTTGAGGTTATACTACTATTGAGTTAAAATAACGTATTTGGGAAATGCTGCACTATAATGAAGAATTAAAAATGATTTTTATCTGATCTGCAAATTGAAATTTATGCGTTGTCTGACTGCATAAGAAAAAGCTGATGCCACAGAATCTGTTCATACTTAAGTGATTTCATATCAAACTTTGCTCAGCGTAGTGGAAAAATAACTTGCTTTGCATTTAACATTACAGTAATTGCTCTCTTGTTATGCTCTGTGAGTTTATTTGGATTGTCACACTTTTTCTTACTGGGATTTTTGAGAATAGCATTGAGGAAAATGTGCCCGTACATTGCATTATTATCTTCCTACCATGTAGTTTCAGGATCGCTGTAGACCAGTGCTGGTTTGTGAAAGGAGAGGCCTTGCCTAGCCCTGCACTGCTGCTCCTTCGCGCCGGCGCCTCTGTGCCTGGGCACTGAGCTGCTGTGGCAAACTGGGGCACATTAAGACTCACCACGTTGGGTTTTGAGCTGGATGGCTTTCCTGCTTCGATCTCCCATGGCCCCTTGTGCCAGAGTTGATGCTCAGGCAGGAGTGAGCGGCTTGGGGAACACGGGGCCGCTGCTTCGAGCGAGGGCGGGTTTAAGCTGGCCGTGAAGCCGTGACGTTAAAGCTGTGTTAACCGTGGAGGGTCACTCACTGCTGTCGCAGTGTGCTCGGCTTTCTGTCTGCACTGCACTGTTCTCACGAAGCTGCTGGTGGGGAGTGGGCCACACGCATCTCCTGGATGTATTTGTACATCTAGAGGAATTTCTAGTAAAAGGGACTCTGTAACTGGAACTCCTTGTTCAGGTTGACTGGGGAGCCTTTGCATTGGGTCTAGGTCTGTCCTGGATTTTTTGGAATGTGCCTGCTTGCCATTTTTCAGTCTGCCTTATTTTCTGTAGCTTCCACTTACTTCCATCAGCAAAGCTTTAAATGACTTAACTCATTTGCCAGTAGAGTAGCTTTTTCAGTTCCCTACAAGTGGGGGAATAAGCACAGGGTATATCCATGTGCAGTTTACCCGGTGCCTTTCACTGCTTCCCTTACCTCTCCTTTCATTCCTTGGAATCAAATGCCATTAAAAAGGAATTATTATGAATGTTTCTTTCAAAAGGAAACAATGCAATTCAATAAACATGGAAACACGACAGTAATAATAATATTATGTCCTGCTAATAACAAAGCCCTGTTTCACTTGTGTCGATACAGTATCAAGCTCCTTATTAGAGGTTGCAACATTTTTGCTTGAATGACGATTGAAATGGAGCTGTACTATTTCTGCTTCTCAGATAAAACCTTATTAACAGTCCTTGATGGGGCTTTTATGAACCTTTCAAATATCAAGTATTTTTGTTTTGTTTGTAGAAGACATTAGAGCCATGCTAGAAGTATTCATTCACCCAATATTACACTTCTGTTCCTAACAGTGCTGACAGGGGGGCCTTTGCCTGCTGAAAGTATTTTCTTATTATTTCATCTTAGTGACTTACCAATATTTCATGTTTCTTTCCCTTTTGATCTTTTTTAGCTGTAAAATAGTAGTTATGGTATATAGCATGATTTTTGTAAAAGATTTTTAAAAAGCCATTATATTGAATGAAAAGCTTTGTGCTCTCTCTGTAGGTATTGGTGTTCCCATTATGCTGGCTTATGTGTATGGGGTTGTTCCAATTTCGCTGTGCCGCAGCGGAGGTTGTGGAGTGTCAGCAGGCAACGGGAAGGGCGTCCGCATTGAATTCGACGATGAAAACGATATCAACGTTGGTGGAACAAATGCAGCTGTAGGTAAGAAAATTCAGTGACTTATTTCCTCTAAATCCAGGCTTTCTGCCCAAGTTTACTGTGCCTGGTGGTCATGCACACCAGAGTATCGTTTTCAGAAGAGATACTAGGTGGTTAGTGCTACCTCCTCTTCTTTTGAAAGACCCATTCTCAGCTAAGGGGAGCTCTTCCCTGTGTTCATTCTGTGCTTTTATGTATTAGCAGTTGTTGCTCATCTGGGCACAGGGCAAGACCATCCCAGGCCTGTTGTGCATTGAATTCTATGCCAGACTTCCTTGCTCAGAACACAAAGGGGACGATAACAGTTTTCTTAATCTGAATTAAATGTGAATATGTGACTTTCAGGCAATAAAAATTGTTATCATATTGTGACCCCATTTTGCTAGGCGGTGCCTCTGGAGTAATTTTTTAGCAGAGAGTTTCTCTGAAGCAGGTACACATTAGTTTCTTAGATGACAGTCTTCAAATCTGATCTGCATGGCTGAAATCTACCTGCGCATTCTGCTTCCATTTCCAAAGGGCAGCAAGATCTCACAAGGGCAGCAACGCAGTGCAGTGGATCCACAGCCTAATCCTATGTTAGACTAGTCAAGAGAACAAAAAGGGTTTAACTTCAATCTTTTTTTTTTTTTCCAAGTCAGTACTTGAGGTACAAATTCCAAGTAGTGATGCGTTTAAGCTCTTAGTCATTTTAATTAAAGACAGACTTATGTAATGTCCTTTCCCCAGGTAAGAGTTGTAGGATAAAAGTAACACTTTTTTTAGAATCTGTGGAAACTTCTTCTAGTTAATTAGCTCCCTTTTTTTTTTTTTTTTTTAAATCCCTAATAGGGAAGCTGAATCCTTTTAGCAGCTGACCTGGTGCTTTTCTTTAGTTACACAGTAGTACTCGTAGTCATAGGATTCTGTGTCCCTTGACTCCACGTTACCTGCCCTGCATGCGGTAAGCTTCTCAGCATGGGACCTGGGCCATGATAATAACCACTGTAGCAACTCCAAGGCCTGCTCCCTTTTTGGCAAAGTTACCTCTTCGTTACAGTACGTTCTACAAGTTGTTTTTCTGTGTGTTATTTCCGAGGCAGAGTCCCAGGTCGCGTCCTCCTGAGCGCTCCGCCGTGCTCGCGCGCGTGACGGGCTGTCTCTGTGTCCGCAGACGCCGCGTCGGTGGCGGAGGCGCGACACACCCCCAGCATCGGCGAGGGCAGCGTCGGCGGCCTCACCGGCAGCCTGAGCGCCAGCGGGAGCCACATGGACAGGATAGGAGCCATCCGGGACAACCTCAGCGAAACCGCCAGCACCATGGCCCTGGCCGGGGCCAGCATCACGGGGAGCCTCTCGGGAAGTGCAATGGTTAACTGCTTTAACAGGTGAGACGCCGCGGCAGCCAGCTCCGGATTGGAGCGGAGGTGATGCTGCTGATTCCTTGTGTTTGCTTTTTAATGCCTAAACGGATTCTTATTAAGCTGCCTGTCTCTGGGAGATAGAGCTAGTTCATCTGTGACAAGTTTATTCCAAAAGATCCTGCTGCAACACAGTCCTCAGAGGAGAAAACTAACCATTTTTTCAGGGTGAGAGGGGCCTGAGGTCTTGACTCCCGCTTTGCAGGAGAGGAGCTTCTCCTCTGGAGCCAGAGGAAGGCACCTTATGTCTAATGCAGCCATGTTCACAGATGAAATTCTATTTAAAATTCATTTTTGCTTTATCTGGTCAGCCCCAGCTTAAGAGGGACTTTTTATTATTCCTGTTGCAGTAGATAGGTACTGAGCAATTATGTGCTTGTTATTTATTAGTAATAATTGTGCAGCAGGAGAGGCACAGATGCTAAAAAAGCTTTACCTTGTGTGTCCTTCTGTGAGTGTCATTTTTACAGTACAGGATGTTACCTGCAAAAAATTATAGTTTAGCCTGGAAGCCTTTCTTATAAATCCCGGGAAAGAGAGTATCTATAACTGCTTGTTAATGTGCAACATTAGACTTTGCTGAGAAGTTTATTGTTTTGTCTCTCTTGATTAGAAAATAGACTTTTTTGACATTAGCCTCTTTCAGTAGGGAAAAAATATGCCTCTCTGGAGTAACCAATGAACTCTACTTAATACAGAAGAGTGGAAAAACTACAGGTGACACTAACTTTTAATGAGCATGTTAACTGTTGTGGTAGCATATAACCTTTTTCTTAACTTTCCAAGACTGGAGGTACAAGCAGATGTGCAGAAAGAACGATACAGCCTGAGCGGCGAATCCGGCACGGTTAGCTTGGGAACGGTTAGTGACAACGCCAGTACCAAAGCAATGGCAGGATCCATTCTGAACTCCTATATCCCTTTGGATAGGTAAGAGGAACATGGTAGAAGTTAGATTAATAAGCTTTGCTTTTTGAGGGATTTTTAAGCATGTCTCAGCTCTTTTACTTCACTACTTACCCTTTGAAATTACAAACTTTGCTCCATACTGAATTAGATATTCTTCCAAAGGGGAACATGATTATTGTACCTCAAAAGCATCTGATTTTTTCTCTCTGAGATTTTTTTTTTTTGGGTAGGGGGAGTTAAATACTTTCTCTAGCTTTTGCTAAGACAAGCTACATCCCTAACTTCTGCTATGTATTTTGGAAAGCAGCAAGGGTTGGTTTGACTATATTAGCTGGCCTCTCTGTAGGATGACTGCTTATGCTCACAGAGTCTTTATCCTTTTAGGGAAGGCAACAGTATGGAAGTGCAAGTGGATATTGAATCAAAGCCAGCCAAATTCAGACACAACAGCGGAAGCAGCAGCGTCGATGACGGCAGCGCTGCAGGTCGGGGTAATGCTGGGTGTTCGTCAGCCTGCTTGCCAGAAAGCAAATCTGGTGCCACCAAGTGGTCCAAAGAAACAACAGCTGGAAAAAAATGCAAAGGTAAACTGAGAAAGAAAAGTAGCATGAAGATAAACGAGACACGAGAGGACATGGATGCTCAGCTGTTGGAACAGCAAAGCACAAACTCTAGCGAATTCGACTCGCCCTCTCTCAGCGACAGCGTTCCGTCGGTAGCAGATTCGCACTCAAGTCACTTCTCCGAGTTCAGCTGCTCGGATATGGAAAGCATGAAAACCTCCTGCAGCCATGGCTCCAGCGATTACCACAGCCGCTTCGCCGCCGTTAGCGCTCTCCCAGAGGTGGAAAACGATCGCTTGGAAAACTCTCCCCACCAGAGTGGGATTCCTGCCCTCGCTGCGGGCGCTGACGCTCCGCAGCTGGGTTACATCGCGGAGGAAAGCGCAAATAACGGGTCGCCAACAGACGCAGATGTAGGTGTTGGTGAGACACTGAAGGAAACAAACAATAACCATTCACCACACGCTGTGGAATTAAGCACTGCAATTCAGACTGAAATCTAAGTCTAAGTGCTGCAGAAACATTTACCACTGAAGAACCCTGTCTGAAAGCTGGTTGAATTACGTGCGGCTCCTATAAGGTTCAGGTGACCAGCAGAAGCAAGGTTTTGATACAACTGCATTTTATATGTACCTGCCCAGTAAGAGAGAATACTTCATATGGATCTTGCAGACCTATGTGAAGAGACAGGAAGGCTTTAACAAGTGCATTACAACAGTACAAATAAGTCCATGTTTTGTATTTTTGCCACAACTTTGCTTGAAAGCATATACCTGGTGTATTTAGATAAAATTGGCTAATTCGTAATCTGTTAAATGCTAAAACGAATAGTATTTCCTGCACTGTTCACTTGACAAATACGGGGTGTGGGATAAATGGGTGTTAGCTGGGTTAGTAACTTAAAACAAAACCAATCTGGGATGAACTTCAGTTCCAGGAGACAAGTTTTGCAGAGGCCTGTGCCAAGGTGCCTCAGCAATGGCTGTTTGCAGTGCTCAGTTGTGGTTCCTGCTGGCCGCGCCGTCAGAGCGCGCGTGCACCTTGAGCAAGGTTATGGCATTTCACATAATTCTGAAATAGGAGCAGTTGGTACTTGATGAATGGTAGAAAGGAGACGTCACCTACAAAGAACAGTGGGGTTACTTATTTATTCATGCAACCAACCATGCAGCAGATAAGGCTACTATATATTGTATAAAAACTGTAAAGAAACCATTGATTTATAAGTAATGTAGAGAATAAGTTGCAATCACCTTTTAGGGGTGGGAGGGAGGGGGAAAATGGTGCCCCATCAATTCTTGGTGCCTTTGGGAAAGACTGGGTTTTAAGTGCCTGGTCGTTTGAGGATTTTACTGTAATGTTCTCCAGAATGTCCTCTTTGGCCACCTTGGATCACAAAAGAGAATTCTAGTGAATAAAATGACTGTGGTAGATAAACATATAATAATAAAAAAAAAGTATTAGCCTACCAAAGACTCACTCAGGCTTTAGTGGATGACTTTCATACGACATCTCTTTGCAAGACATGCATATCTTCAATCCCTGAATCAAAGTGCAGTGCAACGATTGCACAAATGCAAAGATGGGTTCCAAATATGCTGGCTTTTTTCGTTCTTGTTTTTTGCATATGGAAGATGTACAGCTGAGCACAAGCTGAAGCTGGCCAGAGCGCCTGCACTGTTAACGTTTTTTGCTAGGTAATTCACTAAAATGGAAAAAGAAAAAAACAAAATTGTGAATATCAGAATAACAGTTAACAATGTTCTGTCTTGTGTTTCTTGTAAGTATTGCCTTTATGGTGCTACTGGAAGTTTGGTTGGGTAAAAAGAAAACGCCATGAGCTGCAGTCCTCTTCCATGACTTACCCTCACCAGGTTCATTAATATGCTTATAACACTAGTGCCAGTTACATTATTTGATAATGCTTGTTATAGTATTTGTATATTTGCAATTCAGTTTTGCTCAATAATATGCGTGTAAACTGCATATCTGAAATAAATGTCTAAGTACTACCTTGCAGGTGTCCTGCCTTGAGCGTGCTTGGCAGCCCGACGTGGGCCCGAGGGCCCTTTTCCCCGTGAGGTGCTGGGGAAGCTGCAAGCCTTGGGAATTTGAAGCTCGGATCCTAACGCTCGTTGCATTTTTGTCGAAGACTTCAACGTGATTTCTTTTCATCTTGTACAGTGGCAATCTCTACAGCGGGCAGGATGGTAAATGGTTTTCAGAGAGCAGGTAGCTCTCATGTACATGTATTAATCTATTTAAACATTGCACCTAGTATGAGTGGACAGCGATGGTCTCACAGCCGAACTAGACTACAACTCTATTCTGCCTGAAGCTACGTGGTCTGCAGGACTTTCCTTCTGAAATGCTGCAAATTGACCAGAATTTCTGGGTAAACAACCGGTGTTTATTTGCTTGGCTGAACTGCCTGCTCATTAGGCTTGTTTTCTTACCTTCATTTTGACAGTAGGAAACTAAAATTAATTGGAATGCAGGATGGAAGGAATAGCTGCATCTGCCTGGTTCCTGACCCAGGCACGAGCTGTATTTTGATCAGAGTGAATTGCAAGAAGAGAACTGCTGTGCTGGGTCAGCTTTAAAGCTGCAATTAACAGCGTGTTCAGTTTCCAATGGTGGATGCTCAAGGAGAGAATAAGAAATAGGATGAGAGAAGCACATGGTGTGCCCTAGAAATAACTGCAAGGCATAATGGCAGTCTTTACCATGACATCTGGCAATCTGAATTGGAAGCAAATGTAAATTTTATGTTTCATAGGTCAGGTTAGAGTGTTAACAGCTCCTTGCTTATGCTCTGTTCCTGATGGATTTTTTTCCCCCTTTTTATCTGACGAAGTGTGAATTATTTTAAAATACATTGTTACTGAAGAGCAAATGAATTAATATCAGTATTAACTTCAGCACTTGCTGTTACTCCCGTCAGCAAGTCAGGTTTTGAATTTCCCTGTATAGAAATCTCTGTTGCAGATGGGGACTCCAGTGTAGAACCAGTTGTGCAGGCAGGGGCAGGGCAAGGAGGGTCTGTCCTGCAGGTGCCCTGGAGCTGACGCGACGGCTGGGCCAGGCCTTGCGGCCCCAGAGCCCGGAGCACATGGGGTTTTATGCAGTCTCGTATGACCACTCATCTGAAGCCAGAAATTATGGTGTATTTTTTCTTTTGTCATAAAGTGAACCTTTGCTTCAGCTTGTGTGTATTTTTTCAGTTTAGTTTTGCATCTGATGTCTCACGTAGTAGCTGGTGTGGCGTCCAGCTTGGCAGTGTGTGTGTTGGCTTCATCCATGCACTTGTGCAGCAGCTGGAGCACGTTAGCTTGCAGCAACACAACCCAATGAGCTGTGAGCTGCAAGGTGGAGGAGGCATCTCATCCCTCTGCAAATTGAAACTCATCTCTTAATCTCTTGGTTCTCTCAATTTTTCTGTGCAGGGAAATTAAGTGTGTAATATAAATATGTAATGATAGTGTGAGGTTTTTCTTGTTACTTTGAAATCACCTTTAATAATCTTACGTATTTAAAGGTAATGAACAGTGAGGGGTTCGTTTGTTTGTTTTTAAGCAAAAAGCTTGTTCTTTAATTCCTGGATAATATGACGGGAAGCAGTCACATGCGCTGTCTATGCGCCATCTACTAGGAGCAATCATTATGAAACCTAAAGTAGTTTGGAATTTGATATCAAGGCTGTCAAATATGGTAAAAGATGCAGCGCTTCCACCAATGCACTAATATAGGAGATGCCTGCATCTTATCTGCACAATTATCAGTATAAGGAAGAACTTGTTCTTGTAAGTGGAACATTTAGAGAAACAAACCACAGGAAAGGTCAAGTTTCCTGACACTTGCTTCTGCTGTCCTGGCATTACAGTTCCTTTTTGGAAATTTTCTCTGTGCTTTCTGGTCAATTTGACTAATTTACGTCAGATTACAGATCTCTGCTACAGATAATCATCTGCTATATCAGAGAATTGTTGATATAGTTATTTTTATAATTACAATTGCCAAACGATAAAGTCCTGTTCGGTCAAATATTTTCCTGAACTAAGTTATCTTCCTTGGAAGTACTTTAGTATTGCTTATTTCCATAATACTATTTCCAGAGTTTTTCGAAGGAGTTCCATCTTTAAACAGATGAAAGCTGCCATAAATGTCTATCTTCCCAATTTCCCTATGCTTTTTTAGTTTAAAAAAAGAGAGAAAAGGATAAAAGAAAACAGTCCAGACTCGCACATTATTTCCTGCCATTGGATTCGTGTGGCAATCCTGCATGTCTGAGTGAGTATTTTTTGGTGACGTGTAAGGTCTTATCGCTGCGGACGCGGCGCGCGCAGGCTCCCTGCCCTGTGTTGCCCCGGCGGCTCCAGGGACATGCAAGGAGGGGCAAGGAGCCACCTGGAACATGCACAGAAAGCTGAGGAAATGCTGCTACTTGGCAGGGAACCTTCCACGTTTGACCTTCAGAGGAGCAGCGAGGTCGCAGCCCTGCAAAAGGTGAGAACGTTTCTGGATGCCCCTGCATTGATAGAGGGCACAAGTGGAGCTAATAGCGCGTCTCGTGTGACATAGACCGTGTGGGC